AGCATTTTCTTTTCCAGTTACCCGTATTTATTGAAACGGTTTGGTTCACCAAGTAAGCAAATAAAGTTGATCTTCAGTATGTTTTGGATTTTGTTTGTTAAAAACAGGGTTTTAATTCAGCTAATGCAGCAGAGTTTTCCAAATACTTAGAAAGAATTGAGAATAAAGTTTCTTTTAAAGCATCATAACAAAGATCAACATAATTCTGGCTTTCATCCCCTTAATTGTTTCCAGGACCTTCTGCTTGTATGATCTGAGATTTGACACTTTTTGAAGGCCCCCCCTCCCCACTTGTTGCTGTGTGCTGTGTCAGTCAGTGGCTTAAAATAGATAAACCAAGCCGGAGATCATTTCAGTGGCAATAAACACAAGCAGCAATGGAAAATGTAAAAAAAACAGAGCTTTCTTTTGATTTATTAGCACCAGTTAGCAACAGGCTAGCATAAGCCCCATTTCCACTACCCTTTTGAAACCATACCCAGATTGGTCCGATTCACCCAGATCATACAGTCAGATTGGTTCAAAGTTTTCTATCTAAGGAAAGGTTTGCATCGACTCATTGACTTAGAGGCAATCCTTCACACCAAGCATGCTTGTAGCGACAGTAGGGAGGAAAACTCCCTTTTACCAGTAAGAAACCACCATCTGCTGAGGCCGACTGGGGTTCAAGGAGACAGAAGCAGACTATAGCCCCATTTCCACTACCCTTTTGAAACCGTGTCAAAGAACGGTCCGTACATGGTAACCAAGATAACTGTTGAGTGTAAATGGTGCGCAAAACCTGATCCGGACCATGCCAGACACAACGGAACCGTGCAAACATGGTACTAGTTCATCAGTAGTACTCGGCGCAGTTCAGTTCTCCCCAGGTTCTCAGATAACAAAGAGCCAATCAGCCTTTGTGATCATGACATTTCAGACATTCATAAAAATCCTAGCTTCCCTATCGTGATACACGATTTCCAGTGATGATTCTGCTTAGAAGTGTGATGAACCTCAACGTCTGTTGTTGTTTCCTGCATCTGGAAGCCCTCTATAGACTATCGTTTGTCGTATCCACTTCCTAAAAGCCGACTCTGTCAAGTAAATTCACCAAAGGCTGCCTTATTTGCATGACTCTCCGCAAACAACGAAATATTTCAATGATAACAAAACATAACTTCCTGAATGTTATGGGCGCCGCCACGTTGGTTTGCTTGTTTACCTCTTGAGAGCCGTAGTACCATAGATCGCCTCTAGGAGGTGAGGAACCGTGCTAGCATGGTGTGTAAACGGCCGTAAGGAACTGAGCTTGGCATCGTTAACTGATCCAAGCTCGGTATGGATCGGTTTTCAGAGGGTAGGGTTAATGGGGCTATAGATAGCATGACTGTCTCTGCTACCCAGCAGGCCTGAAGGGATCAAGAACTTTCCAGACCTAATTTGACCAGACAGCCCTGAAATCAGCTAGAAACACTTCATTTTTAGCTAATTTTTCCAAAACCTTTGCTGCAACAGTTTTTAATGTCCCTTCACTTGTAAGAAGAAGCCCTCCTTGGTATTGTAATGAAAAAAAATGAAATTAGAAGGCACAGCTTTACACACGTATAACTCCTGACAGAAGTTTACAGAGTTCATAAAAATCTTCATTATCATGAAGGATGGAGAACAAGCAGAAACTCTTTGCCCCCTGCAGCAGTGGGACTCTTCCACATCAGAAATCCTCTATGACGACAAACAGACATCTCCACCCAGTTCCATCATGTTACTCTCAACCAGCTGACAACTGGGACGCCTTCAGAGCGCTACGCGTTGTCACTTTTCATAAGCAGCAGGGAATCTCAGAAGCTCTCAACTCCAACCACTAAAGAGACACTTCAGCCTCTTGGTAGGACCATTTAACGACTCATTTAGCTCACTGGATGTCACAGGATGGGTTCGCCTGAGCAAGGTGGCGGGATTCCCGACAGTAACTCTAAAGGCTGTACTGGATGAATGTTGGTTTGAAGGTAAGGACCGAATGCAGACAGAATCAGAACAATAGCAAAGACATGGCGGACATGTCTGGTATATTGTCTGGTAGGGGTGAGTATCTGCATGGGTGTCGCGTACGGTGACCAGACGTCCCAGATTTACAGAGACGGTCCCCGTTTTGGACCCAAAAAGCTAAAGCTGTCTGTGGAAATGTCCCTGGTTTTACCCTTTTATGAATGAAGGGGAAAATATTGTGTGTAGACTATTATTATGGTAGAAAGAGCATTTGAGCATGCTGTGTGCAAAAAAAGCTGTCAGCTAGTTGGCAGCTGTTAACATATAGATGAGGAGCAGAGGCCATCACTTTTAAAAATGACAAAGAATTTCATTATCAGAATCGGTCGAAGTTGCCCTGTGTTATGGTGAGTGTGTTAATCATTTGATTTAAATTTGGCAGATCATTGTGATAAATTGTTAGGTTCAAAAATGTAGGTTCGTAAAAGAGGAACTGAGTCCACACAGGAAAGAGATTCAAACAGCTCCTGCAGGAGTGGAAAGAGCCCAACCCAACTTTCAACTCTTTCTGGCGACCCCCCTCCTGCAGTCGTCTTTTATTAGCAGATCATAACACATGGGGTGGGTTACAAAACAGTGTTCTTCTGCCAAGGCAATTGATCAGGTCATAGGACAGAATGCTCCTCTGATTGAATCACAGAACAGAGTGGTCTTCTGATATCTGTGATTAGCCTCTCATTTCTCCAATGTTTCATATGTACACACATTAACTTTATAATCATCATTGAATAAACCTAACATAAATGTTTGCTTCATGCCCAGGTTAATAAAAAAAAGGGCTGTTTGTTTTACTAAAGATAAGGAGCGCTAATGTAACATGAACCTAGCTAATCAACAAATTAAGACGTAACAATGGCTGCAGCTGGCATGAGGAAATAGATTACGTTAAAATAAAACTGAATAATTAAAAACTTCTTCTGTGGAGTTCATCTAAAAATGGTTTTAGAAGTGATTGGTGACCTTTAGTTTATATCTTCAGATTATTATCATTACAATAAATGAGAGGCAGTAAAAGGAAAACTGAATGAGACAAGATCTGCATGATCTGAGAATGACAGAGGATAACTGCCTGTTTAATCTTCATTTATTAGGCAGTTTTTACTTGTAGCTCCAAATATTGTGGTGGTTAGCCTTTGTAGTATTTTATTAGGTGAGAATATAATAATAACATACTCACCAACATAATAATAATAATATGTATGAAAAGATCATATGTGTTTGACTGTATGATCTGGTTGAACTGTAAAGTGCCTTGAGATGACATGTGTTGTGAATTTGGAGCTATATAAATAAACTGAATTGAATTGAATTGAATTGTTTGGAAGGGATTTGGATTGTATTATGTCCCTGTTTTAGATTAGCGTAAGATTGATAGAAGAGGACAGGAAGAAGATTAGAAGACTAATAGAAAAAAGAAAAGAACATTATTAATCATTTATTAATCTCAGGGAATAGGAGAGGCATAGTACTAGATTTTACACTTGATTTTTGTTGTTCAAATATGAACAAATATGTAAAAATGCATGAAAGCCCTACTGTCCCTATTGCCTATTTTAATTTTTATGATGTGTATTTATTTTTATCTAGGAGGCGGAAATGTCACCAGATTGGATTTCAGGAATCTGGTCACCTTAGTTTTACAATACTTGGGTCACAATAACATATCATCACAACATTGCAATATCACCATATATTGCAATGTTTTTCCCAGTCATTCAAATTAATGTAGAGATAAAAAAAGCAAGTTCTCTCCATATTTATCAGAAGATGTTGATCATTCAGTTATTTTGGTATCCATGTTGTTTGGGGTCTGAGCCAGTCCATGTCTTCCACTGTGACGGCCTCAACTACAGAGATGGTGCCGCGCCGCACAGCTAACGGGCTCCATGGCGCCCTCTGCCAGAGTGGCGGTGCAGAGGTTGCCCAGTGTTTTTTTAAATCAATACTAGGAACTGAAAGATCAATTTTGTAATAATCAGCTGTTTGATCCACATCTGCTTTTATTTTATATTGATACATTTCGCCTGAAAAGCACGTCGCTTTGATTCAATGACATAAAGACACGAAATATATAACCAGATGCTGTTCAGTGTTGATGATGCTCTGTGTGTAAACATCAAACATTTAATAAACTATTTCCCTTTAAAAAACATCTAGATATAAGTAAAGATTTCGTAAATTAGGTATATTAACTGTCAATTTGAGCAGGTAAATTAGAATAAATTAGTTTTTTTATTCCTAAAATAACTTCGTTAGATAATATGCATTTGAAATAAGAAAATCCCAGCTGTTTTTTCTTATTTTAAATGTAAATTGTTCCAATGGCAACAGGTCTCACTTTCCTCCTCAATTCAAGAAAAATGCACTTGGATTGAAATTTTTTGCAATGTTGCAACATTAACATATTCAGGGAATAAGCTGAGAGTTTTCAGGGTAACAGCAGGTAGTACGGCTCCGTATTGGCTGTTATCTATATAAAATGGCAGCATGTGTCTGTTTGTTTTTCCCTGAGCTGCTTGACATTTTGTCACAGGATGACAAATTTCACTGCTCCGTATTTCATCCATGCAGGCTGATTCATCACTTCATTCAGGGGTATCTGAATAAAAGAGGTTCCCACTGACTCCTAAACAGACCGGCTGTGCCTCAGCTGGTCCCACCAAGGAGGACGGATCTGCAGGTGTCCACCCAGGACTGAGCAGGATGTAACCCCCCCACTAACTTTAAAGCCCTTAAAGTCAACAAACTATTTTCTGGAAATCTTTAAAGAAACAACCCAACAAAGTGGAAAGAATCCAGTTCACTGACAGTAAGACCAGTAAAACCATAGGTGATGCCTCCACTAAAAATCATCTTAATCATGTTTTACAGCACTACCACCACACAACACCTAGAGAACATGGAGAGTAACTTCTATGTCTGAGAAACGTCTGCAGCGTGACGTCCATCAGCCAAAGGTTGCAGCTCCTTACCTCTGACCACAGTGGTGACTCCCATGGAGGGCTGACCCAGGCTGGCCTTGGTTTCCCACTTGCCCTCATCTGGGTGGTACATTTCCACAGAGGCCAGTGGGGTCTGCTGCTGATTCATTCCTCCAAGCACCATCACCTGCCCCCCCAGAGCCACGGCCGAAGCCCCCGCCCGCGCAGTGGGGAGCGGGGGCAGCTGGCTCCACGTCTGGCTCTCCACGTCCAGGACTTCCACGCTGTCCAGGGGTAAGCCCGTCTCGCTGCAGCCCCCCAGCACGTAGAGCAGGCCCTCATGGTAGACGGGAGTGCAGTAGACACGGCGCTGCGACATGGGCGGGAACTGCTCCCACTGCAGGGACTTGACAGGACTCACCGCCATCTCCTGTACAGGCATGTCTTCAGGGCCGAGAGGAGGGGACACACCATCACACAGCCAGCCTGACAGGAGGATGGAGAAGACAGGAAGAGGGGGCGCAGCGAGGGGGAGCAAAGCAGAGGAGGAGAAACAAGCTGCAGGACAAACTTTGTCTGTTTCAGCTAAACTCCTGAGTTCACAGAGGATGGAGAGACGCCTGGAGAGAGCAGAAGAAGAGTCTCTGGCTTCCAGAGAAAAGCTTATCTATTCCACTGACGTGTCCATCAGTACGCCATGACTGTGATACGCTGCTATGATGTGCTTCAGGAAGGTTCCCCAAATCCCCAAGATCTAGAAAACAGGTAATAAGATCAGGATCTGAGCTTCATTCGGCCTTTGATGACCCCAGAAAAAAAAACCTTTCTGACAAAGTTTCATTCCTTTAAACGAAAGGAGTGATTCAGCTCCTCAGCAAAGGCTCCAACAATGAAAAATAAATCCTTCACAGTAGAATAAACCTCCAAATAATCTCTATGAAGTTTATTTAGAGAAAGCAGGTGTTTTCGTCGCCTTTCACTGAAGTAGATCTCTGAATCGTGCTGAAACACGGGGGCTTGTTGTGCATCGGTGCCTCATGGCTTCCTGGTGGCTTTGGAGCAGATGAAACTCCCTCGAACCTGGAAGAAAAGAGGAGCTCTGAGTGAGATGGAAACTAAAGGGGAGAAAATGCAGCTTTGATCTATCAATTCTAGGTCTATGTCTGTGAGTTAAAAAATCTTTTTAATTGATGAGAGGTAAGATCAAAATGTTTCCGTGGGTGAAGCAGAGCTTAATGCCTGGTATTAGAATAGTGCTGCTTTGCATTTCTATGATAGATCAAATGTTTCAGGCAGCAGTCTGCAAATAAAAAGCACATAAATAAACCTTTTCATCAGACATTCTCTGTGTTACTGGATCAGGTAGAAAGGACTAATGCTCACAGTTTCTCATTTCTCTATATAAATCTGACTTTAGGGACTTTTTTAAAAAAACATCCAGGGTTTTTCCCTTTAATTGATTTTCTTACAGCTCGGTAAATTTGCGCAAAGTTTCAGGACGCTGACGGTACAGTGTTAGCTCATTAATTCAGTTTTCCTTCATATGATGCTATAAACCCAGCATCAT